GGGCGGCATTTTAATTTGCTGCTGGCGAGGCAGCAGGACCTCGAGGGTTTGCTGCTGCTGCAGCGCGAAATCGAGGCCCGAGTGACGCAGGTGCGAGGGTTTAGGGTTTAGGGTTTAGGGTTTAGGGTTTAGGGGCTTTTAGGGTTTAGGGCTTATGCGGGTGGGTCAGAGGCTGGACTCCTGGGGTATTGGGTTTGGCGCTATCGAGCGTGTCAGGAGCTAGGCCTCGCTGGATGCGAGGGTTTAGGGTTTAGGGTTTAGGGTTTAGGGTTTAGGGTTTAGGGTTTACGGTTGAGTGGTCACTGCGCGCAGCGTCAGAAAACCTCCAGAGTTTGGCGCTCAGGGCGCGGAGCCCTCGGGTTTAGGGTTTAGGGTTTACGCTTTGCAGGCGAGACAAGACCTAGGGTTTAGGGTTTAGGGTTTAGGGTTTAGGGTTTAGGGTTTAGGGTTTAGGGTTTGTGGTTTCAGCTGAAGCGGAGCATTTCGACGGCGAGTTTGGAAATGGGGGTTGTGGAGTTGATGGTGAAAAGGCGGAAAGAAATAAATTTGAAAAGTTCTCAAGTTTTGCTGCAGCCGAGTCTGCAGCAAACAGCGCAGCAGCAGCAGCAGCAGCAGCAGCAGCAGCAAAAAGCAGAAGCAGCAGCAAAACAAATCGCAGACCAAATTGCCCACAAAAGAACACAAATCCAAGCAGCAATTGAAGCAGCCCGCGACCTCCTTGGCCCCCAGTCCAGCACTTAGCAGCAGCAGCAGCAGCTGCTGCTGCTGCTGCTGCTGCAGTTGCTGCTGCTGCTGCAGCAGTTGCTGCTGCTGCTGCTGCAGCTGCAGCACGGTTTGGAAGGCTGGGACAGGGAGGGCTGTCTAGCTTTGTGTGCAGCCTTTCGCTCTTTTGAGGGTTTGAGGTTTAGGGTTTAGGGTTTAGGGTTTAGGGTTTAGGGTTTGGGTGCGGCGTGAGTTTCCCGTGCCTAGCTCGAGCGAAACCCTAACTGCAAACCCTAAACCCTAAACCCTAAACCCTAATTTCACGTTGCGCCGTTCAAGTGTTCGTGTTGCGGCGCGGCGGCGGGTGGAAACCTTCGAACTAAACCTTGCTTTTTTCTTCAAAATAAATAAATAAATAAATAAGTAAATAAATAAAATAATAAATAAATAAATTAAATAAATAAATAAATGGAATTAAATGCGCAGAAAGCTGAAAACAGCCGGACTTGCAAAAGTTGAACAGCTGCGCGGTGTCAGTGGAGGTCGCAGCAGTTTTTTCCGATTTTTGGACTTTTTGTGCATTTTAATGCACCAAAATGCGTCAAAATGCGTCAAAAAGAATAAAATAAACATTTAAATGAAGTGGGAATTCTCTAAAAGGTCCAAAAAGTCGTTTTTCCCGCAGCTTTCCACTTGGGTTTGCGCGGGTCCCAGGTGTCTGTACACCTCGCGCCGCGCCTCGCGCCGCCCCCGCCGCCAAATTGAAACCACTTTTATTCTTTTGAATTTATTTCCAAATTCGGACTTGGCGAAAAATAAAGAACAGTTTGGATTCAGAAAAATAAAGAACAGTTTGGATTCAGATTTTGAATTGGAATTGAATTCAATTCAGTTCGGTCTTCACTTCAAAACGAACTCCGCTTTTGTCTTCGCGGATTTCTCTTTTCGCCTCTTCTGCTTTCCTTTCTTTCGCTCTTCACTTCTCTTTTATTTTTGTTATTTATTTATTTATTTATTTATTTATTTATTTATTTATTTATTTATTTATTTATTTATTTATTTATTTTTTTGTTTTTTTTTGAATTTTGCAAAATGATGAAATTCGCCGTCGACGGCAACTGGCTCTACTGCGCTGTACTCGCAGCTTCGCAACTCGTCGGCGGATGTTTTCGACTTCACCACGAGGTGACAATTTAATTAATTTAATTTAATTAATTTAATTTAATTTAATTAATTAATTTAATTAATTTAATTAATTTAATTAATTGATTTAATTGGTTTATTTAATGTGAAATTATATTTAATTAATTGAATTTAATTGAATTGAAATTAATTAAATTGAATTTGTTTCGAATTTCCACTTTTGAATCTTCAGGACTTTCTCGGCGCGGCAGTGCAGTAAGGCGAAGTTTGCGGAATTTGAAAAACAGAATTTTTATTTTAAATAAATAAATAAATAAATAAATAAATAAATAAATAAATAAATGTTTAATTAATTAACTAATTACGTAATTAATTAATTAATTAATTTGAGTGTTTTGTCATAAAAAAGAATTAAAGAATGTAAAAGGAATTAAAATTTTTAATTAAAAAACTCCAAAGGGCTTTAATTCAACTTCTAAAACTGTCAAACCGAAATATTTAAAATCTTTTTTTAAAACATCTTTTTTAAAGCCAATTCAACAAAATAGAAGTAATAAAAATAAAGAAAATAATAAATAAAACTAAAAAGAATTAAAAATAAAAAGAATTAATTATAATTAAAAAGAAATAAATTAAAGAAATAAAAAAATATCAAAGATAAAAATAATGTCACAATGAAAAGCACATCAAAGCGAAGATAACAAGACCAACAAATATTGAAAGTAAAAATTAAAACTGTTAAAAGAATATTAAAAAGAATAATAAAAATAATAATAAAAGAATATTAAAAGAATATTAAAAGAGTATTAAAAGAATATTAAAAAGAATATTA